GCCCAGCCCTCTGCAGCAGCAGGCATCCCTGCCTGCAATCATCAAGTCGTCACAGGCCCGAAGACCCCACAGCAGGCTCCCAGCACGCCAACGGGTGCAGCGGTGCTTCCCACCCTTCGCACACGGCTCATGAGTCTTGCTCCTGCTGGCACCGGATCCGTTGCCTGCCTGGGCACCTAAGGCCAGTCAGACAGGAGAGCCAAACTCCGTTGTGTACAACGCAAACTCAGCGCCTGCCATTAGAGGATGCTGTTGAAAATCCTCGTGTAGGCCACTGTACAGGAGGGTGTTGGGCAATGCAGAGGGCGGAAGGAGTTTGAGTGAAGCTTGCCAAGTTTTCAAACAGGTCTAGATGAGAGCTTGGAGGAACAAATGTGTTTTGTGTGATAGGCAGCGACACCTCGTGGCACAGCATCCCCCCCAGCCCTCCCAGTTTGCTGCCAACTTTACACTTGTTCACTTGTTTTGTTTTTCTGGGACACGTTCTCAGTCATGCTAAAATCAGGGGGTGTTTTGCCACAGAGTCCGGTGGAGCCCAGATTTCAGGGCAGATGTTTCACAGGAAATAACGATGATGATGAGATTCACCTCTTGCAAACGCTTACTACAGAACACATGTCATCTTTAAGAGAAGCTGCCCGAGGGCTCTTAGCAAGCCCTTGATGAGACTGGCGCTCGAATTGCTTCCTATTTCATTCAGGCTGCTACAGGAAGCCTAAGAGCCGTGTGTTGGTACTAGCTGTGCAGCTTTGATGCTAAGGGGGAAGAGACCTAGGACCCTCCAGCTGTTTAGCTTTGGTTTTTTCGATATAAAAGATTATAGTTCTTTTTGCATGAGAAAGAGAAACTTCATAGAACTTAAACAGAGGTAGCAAAACAGCCAAGGAACAAGAAAAGTAATGATAACAGAAGCCCGTGGTATGAAGAAACGGAGATTTCTGGAGGAAGTTGTGACTGCAGAAACTCGTAACTGTGTCTCCTCCTACGGGCTGAATCGTACCATGTTCAGGGAAATGAGACATCCGACACCTTCCTGGTAAGCATACAGGCTTTTGTGACTATACATCCAGCTCCATCAGCTCTTCTCCCCCTTAGTACCCAGAACCTGACCTTCACATGTAGAGCCATGGGCTGTCTGCCGGGCTTGGTGAGTTCTCCATCTGGAGAAGACCCAGCAAAGCCCCTTTTCTCTATGCCGCTGTTATCTTCTGTATATAACTTCATTGACCTATTTCCTTTCATCATGGCCCAGGCTTGGAGGTGACTGATGGGAAGAGCAGGACAGTAGACGTGCCAACCAAGCAACACGACTGATCGCGCTGTTTCTCCCCCTTCTCCCTCTGTGCACAGGACGCAATGGCACAGCTATTCCAAGCACATACGCCTGGGCACGCTGTGCTTGTAGTGTAGCTCACAGCTGAACCAGGATGTTTCCTACTGTGTTTCTGATACAGGCCAAACAGAACTGCTGGCTCCGTGACTTTTTGCTTTAGGAAGACATGTGAAGCTATAACATACAGCGGCAGCTTGGGAACTGAGCTTTACCCCAGGAGTTTAAAGGTACCGCATGCTGAAAACACAAACACCTCAAGAGTTTCATACCTGTGAACGCCAAGGCCAGCAGCCAACGTGCTCATCGATTAGGCAGTGCAGGGGCCAAGAACAATCCGTGTGTTGGCACAGACCTGGCAACTGGTCCTGATCTTGACTGATATTTCTGGGTTGATGACAAATAATGACAAGTGGTAACTAAGGCATAAGAAAATTGCAGCACTGGCATCTAGCAAAGCCACAGGATTTATCAGAAGGCTCCACGTCCTTTCATTCGCCCTCACTCTAGATGGGGCAGATCCCTGTCCCATTTCTGCACTTCCCCCATCTGTAAAGTGGAGCAATTCCCTAACTTCTGAAAAACATTCTTCACCTGGTAACACAAATTAAAAGAAAATCCTTGGTCTCTTGTAGACACAAGGCTATCAGAATATCACATACTACTGACTGATTACTGGTTTTTATTATTGCTAGGTTATTATCAGATATCTCATGTAGTAAAACCTTATTTGATTTCTATTAATATTTCACAGCCACATAGGTAAACTCCAGAGGTCAATTTTTTAACGAGGTGCCTCACAAGTTAAGGCTTGCACTGTTTTACTGCTTTCCTTTTGCCCGTAGCCTGTGACAGAGAACAGCTATGTTACACTGGAGGGCGTAGTACTGCAATCTTTACAACACTTTTCTGTCATCAAAAGCACTCTCACATCTGCTCCTTTCCTGGTTCAACGTGCAGTGCTATATTTGGGCCGTACCCGGAAGCGAGACTGCGTGTGCGCAGTTCATTAACTGCATGCTTCTCCGTAATTCATACAACTTGATACAAGAGAACAACATGATGAAGAGGTAGCAAGAAAAGAAATATGCTACAAGTGGAAAAGTTCTCCTTCAGCATGTCTATCTGGAGAGTCAGAGTCCTGACGGCACTGTGCTTCCTGCAGCAGACTAGAGGTACAGTACAGCTGTCTGTTACTTTTCATTTTGCTATGCCACGTGGCTTTGCTTGTAGGAGGAAAGACAAGTTTTAAGCAGTTTAAATGGGAATTATTCACATAAAGTGAAATATTCCACTGTACAGAAATGGCAATTTAAAATCTGTCTCTAGAATGTGTCTCGCTGAGGGCTAGCGATACATCTATTCCGGTACGTATGTACATACATATCTACCGGAAACAGTAAGCACCAGGAAAGTACAAGTGGCAAGCCGGTGTGCTGCGTCTTGCTGCATTCACGGGAAGGTCTGCCTTTGAAGAACTGGGACTGAATGAGCAGCGTGAGCCAGCTGGGCCTGCCACATCCAGGGGCCAGGAGGTGGGAGTGCAAGGGAGGAGGGTTGGAGTTTGTGGGGTTGTACATCAGGTCACAGCGAAATCCAGTGAGACCACGGGGGAAGCCACTCAAAACTATAGAACAGGATGGTTCAGGAAAATGTAGGTCCTAATTTGAAAAGCTGTCCAGATGAAGATGTTTTGTAAGAGCTGAGGAAAGCATGACTACATCGCAGACACACTCGCTTCCATAGCCAATTTCCAGTCTTCAATGAACCGAGCTGCTCTGCTGCAAATTTCGAAACCATGGTCAAATCCAGGTGATATTTCCTATCCCCGAAGATATTTTAAATCACTCACATAATTTTCCCTTTCAATCAGGTCATGTTCAGCTTCCCGCTCCTCAAAATGTTACACTGCTGTCACAGGATTTTGACATGATTTTGACATGGACTCCAGGAGAAGGCTCTCCACCAGATGTGACATACACTGTGAGGTATGAAAGGTAAGCGCTTACAAAGGATGTCTGATTGAAAGTATGGCACAGGGCAAACATCTGTGCATCTATATTAATCATTGCCTTTATGATCAGTGGCCTGGCTGCCTCTTTGCACCAAAACCAATCTTTACCCTGCTGGAGAGTACTCCAAACTCTGAGCAAGATTCGGTACCCATCCTCCAAAACACTTCCTTCTCTTGCTCTATAAATTATAACAAAACAGCATCTTTAATATTATGGTATGCTTGTTTCTTCTTTTAGCCAGGAACGCATGGACAAATGGATAAAGGTTCCTCACTGCAAAAATATTCACAGAACCTTTTGCAATCTGACTTGTGTGCTTCCAAAATTTGTTAAAGTCCGGGCTCGAGTAAAAGCTGTTTCTGGGCGATTCACGTCGCCATGGGTAGAGTCGCACTTCAAGCAATACTATTTGGATGGTGAGTGTCTGTTACGTTACAGCCTGAATGAAAGAACATCCCAACAACAGTGTTGGGCATGAGCAAATGAGTAGACCACACACCACAGAAGGAGAAACAGTGACAACCAGCTTTATGAATGATAGAGGTTTGTGTGAGCACAAACAACAATGAGCCATGATAATGTGAAAATAGATTTTGCAGCAAGTGTCAGAATTTGTTCATCAATGACCTAGGTGAACAAACTGGCTTCAAGCTTTCCACATACCTGCGGGGGTACACTAGATCAAAAAGAGCTATTCCTTTGCTTTCCTCCTTCCTTCACGTCTATCACAAGATAACAGTTAGAAGAGTAGATGAGTCACAGAAAATCATTACTTCTGTGAAGCTAAGACACAAGCAAGCACTATTCTTATGTCTGGTCACTCAATTACAGTGGAACTGGCTCCTCCTGTGCTAAATGTGAACGTCAAGGAGAACTTAATCCATGTGAATGCCTCCTTCCCTTTGGCCACCTGTGTGGAGCATTTATCTTGGATGTATGACTTGAACCTTTGGGAAGCTGGATCTGAACACAAGGTCAGTAAAAGTGGCACTTCTTAGATGAAATGGAGGAATGATGCCCTGCTTGAATTGAAATGGCTTCAAATTTCTGGGCAGGGAGGGACTGCATCCAGGGCCTGGAGAAAATGAAATGGCCAAACCAGAGTCAAACCAAAGCCAGAGAACAAAAGTAGATGTGTGCGTGTGCATCCTTATTTTATTGGTAGTTCCCTATTTTTATCAGGAAGAGGTGATGGGGAGACTACACTTTAGTCAGTACAATAGGGCAATATCTGAGGTTTGAAACAACTAGTTCAGGTACTGCTAAGAGCGTGCCGTGGCAGAACAGAGCACAGCATCAGCTGGAATTCCCACCCTAGAATCCATAAGCCCTAGGAGAGACGCTTGCTACAAACAGCACGAAAGACATGACGTGCCTTCCCACCACTGGAGCCACGCAAAATAACGAACTAAAAAGGTAGAGAAACACCACCCAATAATGAAAGAATCATCTTTCCAACCCTCTGTTCTTTATGTTTCTAAGCAGAAGCAGTACGAAGGTATGTTTAGGAAGAAGACAGTGACTATCGATACCACCGCACTTAGAGGCAACTACTGTTTAAGTGCCAGATCATCCTTCCAAAGCATTGACTTCAAGCACAGCGAATTCTCCCAACCAGTGTGTGTGCTATTAAACCACAAAGGTATGGCCCTGCGGAGAAAAGGATGTGGTGAGACTCAAATGGTATTAGGGCAAGTCAAATATTTCCACCAGAATTAGCTATTTGACAACAAAAAATGCTTCCTGTTAAATGGACTGGTTGGATTTTCTAGTGAGAGGTTCCTGCTTTCTGTAGAAATATTTTCATTAAAAAAATCCAACCCTGAAATATTTTCTGAAAATCCTGAAATAATGTACTTGATTTATGCTCAAAATGAAATCTGGGGAATGTTCAAATTTATACTGAAAAATACGTGAATAAAGCCTCATTTTTTACCTGCTCCAAGTAAGGCACTGGCTGATATCAATATTCATTTGTGGCTGTGACTCTGACTTAGAGTCTGATCTTAAGCAAGTCTGTTATCCTTTCTCTCCATTTGTAAAATAAGGATCTTGAGCCTAACATTTCCTAGATTGCTGAAAGAAAAGCTGAGTATAAGAGCCCATTATTACTATAAAATATACCACCAGCAAGAGATTATTTTTGTCTTTTTCTTTTTCAGCAGTGGAATGGAAGTTCCCATTTTCTGCCACGATCCCTGTGTTTGTCCTCCTTGTCTTTCTGACAAGTGCCTTCATCATCTGCTTGCTGAAACAAGATGCTATGCGAAAGGAGATGCCTCGTGCTTTGGTATGGCCCAATGCTGGGGTCCCCTCCTGACTCAAAGTCTTGCTGATTTTCAGAGGGTAACCGGGGAGGAGTGGGGGAGTTCTGTGCTTCTCAGTTTTGCTTGCGTAAGTCCCCTTATAGGTAAGCTTTCATTTTGGCATGTCCTATATCCCAACTTTTCTTTAAAAAGCATCACTAACTGACTGATCTGTGTGTCTTGTTTCTTTTTGCTGGTAGGATTTATCTCAATTAAAAGCTGCTGGACCAGCTTTTCACTGTGAGCCTAGTGAAAAGGAATTCTTCAGGGACTATCTTACCTGCACAGAGAAGCCAATGTCACAAAGGAAGACAAATAAAACCTCAGCAAGAAACAAGCCACCATGGATGGCTTCTTTCTTATCATCATCATCAACAGAAGAGGAAGAGGAGGAGGAAGAGGAAGAAGACAGCAGCACTTTCATCCCATACACTGAAATGCCTCAGTTTCCAAAGAGACATCTGAACTGTCAATCACCCAGAACAGCTCAGGGGAAAACTGGCTTGGACTCCGGATCTGGAAGTCTCTCTGTGGATAGTGAATCTGTGCTTGACCTAAGTGCCTTGGGTTTCTCATTCTTCCCAATGAGAAAGAATGAGGTCGACACCTCAGGATCTCAAGGAAATGAGAAGGCATCCCTTTCTTACAGTTCCTCTCTGGGAACAATATCCCTCACTGATGTGAGATTCCCAGGTCCCCGGGAACATGGACAGCATGAGACAAACAGGGATGAAGGCCTGGAAATGACTCCTCTTCAAACACCGATGGAGGAGATTTGTGCCAAATTTCCAGCCAATGAGCACTACCTGCAGAGGAAGGCTCATCATTTCACCAAGTGTTACCAGAAACCAAAAGCTGACCTGCACGCCCAGATCGGTGAGGTATCACAGCTCAGCAAGGATCCCAGCACTGAGTTGCTCATTTCCTTTCAGACATTACAGGTGGCAGAAGACGAAGGTATTGCAAGTGACTGTGACAGCGATAATTTTACCGAAGGGACACCTCCCGCATCCACGGTGCTAAGTGACACATTTGAAACTTAAAATATGGGGGAAAAGTATGATCACAAGTTTAAATTCAAAGGCTACGAGCACACACATTACATGGGAAGGAGCTAGAGTACCCTAGCAGTTCTGTGGCGTGCCTGGAAAACATCAGAGAGCTCCAGATACCCGGGCAAGGATACCTAAACAAGAACAAGGACAAATAACTGATATTGGTGCTTTTTGTATTTATTCACCTGGACAGAGTTTTTTCTACCGATGTCTGGCCTATCAAGGCATATGGCTTTAGGGACACAAAAGGTGCATTTTTACTGCTAAGTAACTAATGTACATTCACCATCCCTCTGTACAAGTACAGCTGTGATAAGGTGTAAAGGCTGTGGTATGAGGCACACTATTCGAACCCAGCCGGGGTGAGGCATGCAGTGACACCTCATGTGGGTATCACACAGCAAACACACAGTGCCTTGTGTTCACCTGAGACCTCAGAGCAAGGTGACTTTTACATGTGAATTATGAAAGGCAAAATACCTCTGAGACAGCAAAACCACGACCCGGACCTGTGTCAAACCATCAGCTGGGTTCTGAAAAGACAGTGTGATGTGCCTGCATTGTGATTTTGAGCCAGGATGAACTGTTAATGTTACATTTGCTTCTTTGTACCAGCAAAACTGCACCCCTGCTTGACTGGAAGTACCATACAGAGACATTTAACAACCTTTGTTTTTGCAGCATGAAAAGATCTTTACCTCAACCTACAGAGATCACTTTCTGTGTTTCAACAGCATGAAGTCAAAGTGATAAATGTGCAGCATGTTTATTTATTATTTTTTTATATACGTATATACTTACTGAAGCTGAAATTTCCCCTGCTGTGCAGAATGTCTGAGAGCTGCTTTATGCAGAAGCAATAATATTTTGATATATAACTCCATGTATGTGTGTGTTTATGCTTCCCAGAACTACAAAGGGTGGCTGCAGCTCATCCCAAAAAACACTATGTTTTAAAACATGACCCCATCACAGGCTTCCTAGTGCTTTGATCTGAGGAGAATCCTGCGAGAATTCCCAGCCAGGTCTCTCTCCAGGTCACTGAAAGACCAGGGCTGTGACCATCTCTCTGAGCAAAGAATCAAATCAGAAGTTCACCAGCAAAAGACACAGGAGAGACAAGGCCTCCCTTGACTGACCAATACTGACCTTTTCAGTGTATTTTTAATTCGTGCTCCTCGCATCTCACAGAAACATACTCTCACATTTTATTCCTGTAAAAGGACATGCAGAAAAGCAAAGCGTTAAAAGAAAGAGGGAGACACACAACAGCCATTCTCTGCATTCAGAATTGTCGCAGATGAGGGAAGGGTGGTGATGGAGGGTATTAAAGCTGACATCTTCAGAGAATCAGGAGAACAATATTAGAAAGAGACAGGGGGTGATAGGAGAGGTTGGGAACTGCTTTGAAAGAGGAAAGCAAGATGTACTAATTAAGGTCCTGAAGCGAAGTAAAAAGGGGAGGTGGGAGAAAAAATTCCTTTTCTATTTCGAGTATTTTTCTTTTTTTTCTTACTTGTCCTCCACAAAGTGTCCTTAGTTACATCCTGCATTGTAATGTTCATTCCTGTTCATTTAGAAATATCTAGATCATGCAAATATAATCACCACCTATTCTCTTGTGCAATCAAAGAGAAACCCCCAGGCTTTGAGTTACAGGAAGCTCAGAAGTTGTGTAACCTCTACAAAAATATGTTGACATGTCACAGCTCTGCAGATAGGGCCTGGGATCAGTTCTTTGTCTTGTCCAGGTTTTCTCAGGATGGAAGCAGAGGTAAAGGCTGCAGGTCAGGTGAGCTGTGCTGATGGAGGCAGCATCCCACTCCTCCATGTTTGCTTTCACCAGGGCTTGAGACCTGCTTTCCACTGCAAAAGGGTCAGGGACAGCCAGAGCACAGTGTTCCCTCTTCCAGAGCAACTGGTCCATACCTTCACATCTTACTTAACAGTTGTAGCTGTATAAAGAGAAAAGCAGCTCTTTGCGCTCACTGGAAGAGGTATGATCCCGTCAACCAAAAAACCTGGACATTGCTCATCTACTGGATAAACGCAAGAGCTGGAATCAAATCTCCTGGATCAGCAGTCACTCGGCTTCATGCAGTCCTCATAGAGTGGGGCTCTAAAGCCTGAGTCCTGCAGCAGCTCAGAGGAGATAACCACCTCGGTCTTTTTGGCCTTAATCTACTATCTTCACAAATTGCTGGCATGCAACATTTTTCTCCTCTTTCCCCAGCTGTGCCAAGTCATAAGCAGAGTTCCATGGAAAATCTGTGTTACGAACCTCTCAGTCTGTTTTTGACTTTAGGAACTAACTTCTGACAGGCTCAGGCTCTACAGTTTGGAAGTTGAAAGCCAAATGTTTAATTTTAAACTTGGAACCAGACTTTTGGAGATCTTCAGGTACCTAAATATTCAGAGAGGTGTTTCCTGGGCTATTAAAAAGGTAACATCTCTCTAGAAATAAGGGCAGAAATAAAGTTTTAAGTTACACTCTCAGAACTAAAGTCCCAGGTGCACTACAATTTCCCTCACCTCTGCCCTATGATGGGTCATCACACAGCAAAAGCACAAGGTAGTCACGAGGGAAGAAAAAACAATGGAAATACCTTAGGAAGCTATTCAGGAAACACCCTAACAAAGAGTTGTACTTAATTAGACATAGGCCATACTGGTGGATAGGTGTGTCTTGTTTGATAAACCTCTGAGGCGTCTGCATTTGTCCAAGTGAGATGAGAAAGACAAAATGACAGCTATGCATCAGTAGCATGGTTTGAAGCATACAGCCCCGTTCATGTCAAAGCAAGGCAGGGAATAGAAACAACTTCAGGAACAGAAAATCCATGAGATGAAGAGGTAAGCAGAAGGGGTAGTGATTTCTATCACATCTGGCCACAAGAATAGGATACTGAAAGTAGTGTGCTTTCAGCTTCAGAAGCACAGGTGGCTTGTATTTTGATTTTGCAGGTGTGATGTTGCTTATGGGACTCACTTGTAATAATAAGGAAAAAATCTAGCATGTAGGAGCTTTGAATAGACTTTAGACAATATAAGAGCATGGCTCATAAAGTTATCCTACGTGGTTTAGGGCAGATATTTCTGTTAAAGCTTTTCTAGGGCTGAAGCAATTGCAATTTGAACAGTTCTCAGTGCTCGGAAAGACGGTCCAGTTGGTGTTGCTTTGGTGGAACCTCAGCTTTATGCAATGGTCCAGTTACTCCTGGGCAAAACTGAGGACAGGACCTCTCCATTTTGTGAACAATTATGACCATGCGATAAAGTAAGCCAGAGAAGTAAGCCAGAGCAGATATCCAGTCTGTGTTAAGGGAATAGATATACTATAAAAATTCAAAAATCGTGGCTAAGGTTGTTTCCTAAGCCTCAAATTCAGGCTGCATGTGTGAAGCTTTCTGCACTTAGGACATCTTGGGTAAAAAAAGCAGCATGAAGCTATACCAGTTCTTCAGCTGTTACACCCATCTGGTGGTTCTAAATCCGCATCTCCTGGAGACAGGCAATTAGTTTTCACTTTTGACCAAAGCGGGAAGTGTCTCTCCCTCTTCTGAGAAAAGCCTGAAAATGTAACTTAACAACACCCTAAAAAAACAAGAATGCTGTAGAAAAGGAATTATATCTTTTCCTTGTTTAGATTTCATACAAACTCCCAGTTCTTACCACATGGCATTCATAATACTCAGAACAGAGCCTTATATTGTAAGCAGTCACAAAAATAAACTGTAGGTCTACAGTGGCCTCTGAGAAAAGCCACGGGACAGCACGTGCTCCTCCTACGGAATGGCTACCTCCTTCCTAGGTCAAATGGGAGAACCTCTGCAGCCACCTGGTAGTGTAGAGTCACGGCAGATGAGGAGCTCATGCTCTGCCCAGTATGAAGCAGGGATGCATGCTAGTCATTTGGCTCCCATCCAAGGCAAGTATGAACAATAGAAGAGCTTAAAAACTAAGGATCTGGCTGACTTTCATTTTAAGGAAGTATTCAAAGGTATTGCTTAAGGAAAAAGGTGTCTTGCTTGCAGCAGTAATAAAACCAACTAGGTGCACAGCACTAAGTTATAATTTCTATAGGTTTAACAAGTCAAAGTTGCCCGACCAGAAAAGCAAGCCCCAAAACTGAGAAACCTCAGTGAGGGCTTTCAGGCAGGAAGCTCTTTATCAGCAAAAAGGTATTTGGCTCTCTTTCAAAAGCTGGGGATTTTCTAAGCCTCTGGCTTGTGCACCTTTGCACAGTTAGATGTCCGTACACAGCAGGGGAGAGGTGCTCCTGTTGTCACTCTTGCATTCTCTCTTACACATGCGCATGCACCTTTACCCGGTGACCTCAGATCCGAATGCAGGCGGGACAGTAGCTCTGCAGCCTGTTACTGAGCAACAGATCCAACCTGGCCTCACAAACACGAATTTAGCACTTATAAAAGGTGATTCACCTGCACACAGGATCAACTGCCTGCTCTCCCAGCCCAGCTTGCATAGCTATTCATGAAGCAACTTCTGATCGTCTTGGCTGTATCTTCAGTGGTCGGTAAGTCCTGACTTCTCCTTTCCTGTCACTGATCGTGGTGGTTTCTGTTTGATCCTGTAGTATGGGAGGTAGTTCAGTCATGTTTACTAAAAGAAGACCTAGAGAATGAGCTGTTGTCTGAGGTTGTTCAAAAGCTCTCTCTTGTGTTGCTCTCTCCTCTCTATTTCAAAGTACTGTTGGTGTGCTCAGTGCTTTAAGGATTACTAGGGAGAAGAAAAGATTCCTTCACTTCAAAGCATTTGCCACTGATGTGTTACAACCCAAATTCTGCAGGAGTAAAGGATATTCATCGACTTCGGGGGGCTTTGGATCAGTCCCCCTGTGTCTTAAGCTGAGATGCAAAGGACTACAAGAACCAACCTGATTTTAAAAGAGGTAGAAACCAATAATGTATCCCTAAAAGCCATTTAATCCTACTCCAGATGTGGCAAGCTCACTTCTCGGTGAATCAAGGATAAACTTGCTATCTTTTCAAATGCCAGCTATTCAGCAAGCACCCTTATCATTAATCTGCTTTTGTGTCCGT